CTCTTCCTCTCGCTCCCAGCCTCACTTAGACGGGAACTGCAAAATAGGCAAGCCTCTGGCAAAGCTAAAGAAGGAAACAGAACGAGGGTTTTAAAATAGAAAAGATCTTTTTGTCACCTTTATTTTTACTATTTGTGCAGCCATCCTCCTGAGCGCTGAGGCCACAGGGCACCACCACCTTGCCAGGAGGAGCCTGGGCTCTGAGGGACCCCCGTGCCTGGCAATTGTCACATGTGCTATAACTGGGTCAGAAAAGGGGTTGGGGTAGAACACACTGGGCGTGGGTGGTGCTGGGGCTCAGCGTGCCCTGCCAGCAGAGCTGGGTCCTGCCCTATGGCCTCACCACCCTGTGCCTGGCCTCTGCAGGGAACAAGTCGGACCTGGGTGAGCTCCGAGAGGTCACGCTGGCTGAGGCACAGAGCCTGGCGGAGCACTACGACATCCTGTGTGCCATCGAGACGTCCGCCAAGGACTCGAGCAACGTGGAGGAGGCCTTCCTGCGAGTGGCCACGGAGCTCGTTGTGCGGCACGGGGGCCCGGTGTTCCGTGGGAAGAGCGCCGGCCACCTCCAGCTGGACAGCAAGGACGTGAGCGCAGGCTGGGGCTGCGGGTGCTGACACCGGCTGCCTCCTGCCCTGTCCTGCTGTGCCCAGCTCTTGGGGGCGCTGGGGTTCAGGAACAGCTGGCAAAACCCAGGAACTTGGCACTGGCAGCCCGGGTGCTTGTGGGCGGGCTCCCAGGCAGGCTCTCCAGCCCAGGCTGGCATGGCACCCACCCTGCCAGCTGCTGCTGACCTGTGATCCTCACATTCCAGGGCTGGCCTGAGCTGACCAGCGTGGACCTCGGTGGGAACGTGCTCCAGGAGTGTGGCTGGGGCCTTGATTTTTCCAGGCCGTTCTGGGGTTTCATGGCGGAGCTCCAGGCCGAGACCCAGTGTTGGGAGGTCTCTCCTTCCAGGCCAGGAGCCTGCCCCTCCCCAGCTGCAGCTCCCAGATCATGCCTGGCTTGCCAAGGCCTTCGAGAGGCTCAAGTGTCCTGGTCTCTATGTCCTTTTCTCATCTCAACAGGAGTGCAGGTCACAGCCAGCCAGGAGGGGACTGTCCGCTGCCACTCGGTCCGAGACCAGCCAGCCCTTGGGTGCCATGTCGTGGTCAGGGCTGAGGAGGGAGGGGAGGTGGATACGGATGGTGACAGGAGCAGCTGGCTCCTGAGGCTTGGGGTCAGTGGCACCCCTTGCAGAAATGGTGCCTGTGTACCCGGCACCTCTCTTGCAGCAGGCTAGCTCCCAGACTCCCAGCAGCAAAGGCAAGGGCCGGTGCTTGTGACCTGGCTGTCTCATCCCCTGGCCCTTTGCTGCCTTGTTCTGCGCCAGGCACTGAGGTTGTAAGGCAGAAGGTGGGGGGCTCACAGGGAGCCTGGTGGTCTAGGCTGGTCCCTATCTCTCCATGTCAGCCCAGTCTAGCCTTAGGGTCACCTCTGCGTGGCCGTGAATAACAGGCTCCCAGACCCTGGGTGCGGTCCACACCGTAGAACAGGCTCAGGCCCGGGCCAGACCCATAGTGCCCCTTAACTGCCTATAGGTATTCTGATTAGTCCTCCCCAGGAAGCCTGGGCACAGGGCAGGCAGCAACACGTGGCAGACTGGGACGGCCAGTAGATGTGGACACTGAGTCCTGGCAGAACCTGATGCTGGTGGCCAGGTGTGGTTCTAGAGGGAAGATGGCCTGGCTGGGGCCTGGGTCCAGGGGTGGTGGAGGCAGACAGCAGGACACGGTGGCAAGGCTGGCTGTACCTCCTCCCTGCTGGGGACACAGCAGCCAGCGGAGCCAGGTGGGTTCAAGGCCCTGCTGCTGGCAGGGGTGCAGGTGTCACCTGGCCCCTTCACTGGGGCGCCTGGACCTAGCCTGCGAGGTGGACAGTACCTGGCACCAAGGCACCCTGCAGGCCCAGGTGGAGTCCTCATGGTTGACTGTGAGAGGCACCCACGGTGGTGCCGCCTTTAGCTCCATGACCCGCAAGGGGCAGCTGGTTCCGGGGTCACAGTCGGGGCAGTGCTGGCTTTTACCACAAAGCCCTGCCTTGCCAAGCTGTGGTGCTCTGTGGTCTCGGAGCAGAGGCCTGGGCCTCCATGTGCTAGCTGCAGTCCCAGTTCAGGACCATCCTGGCCACCAAGCTCAGGAACTGACCCTGCCTCTGCCCTTCTCAGGGCACCATCTCCTCAGGACACCCTGGGCTGCCACGGAGGTCCAGGGAGGGACAGGCTGGGCTGGCTGGCATGCAGGCTTATTCGTGCCTTGGCCTGAGAGCTGCCGCTTCCATCTCTGCCCTGTGGCAGGAGACCTGAAGCCCTGCAAGGCTTGGCTTAGAGAGGCAGGGAGCTGCCAGCCCAGCCTGGCCCAGCTGCCCCTTCCTGTGGTCTCCTGGCTTGTTTCTCACTTCATAGCTCCTGAGTAACCTTCTTCTACCCCGGCCTCCAGGCTGGGCAGCCTCACTTCCAAGGGGCCACCTAGAAACCCTGGCCCCTGGGCTCCCGGTATCTCCCCTTCCTCACCACGACAGCCTAGAGACCCCGACCCCTGGGCCCCAGGCATCTCCCCTCCCTGCCATGATGGCCTAGAGACCCGGCCCCTGGGCTCTGGGGCATCTCCCCAGCCCACCATGACAGCCTAGAGACCCTAACCCCTGGGCTCCTGGCATCTCCCCTCTCCGCTGTGACAGCCCCAGCCTCATCTGGCCTCTCTGCCACCCCCACTGCCCCAGATGCCCTCAACCTCCACAGCTCGGCCGCCCCTGTCCCAGCCCTTCCTGCCCACATACCAGCTCTGCCCTATCACTGTCCTTCAGAATCCCACGGAGGACGGGCCACACACATCCCTAAGGAGAGCCTGCCCCCAGGACCCTGGCAGCTCTCCTCTCCACCCTGTGGGAGTGCCTGAGAGACGGTAAGGGGCCTGTGGGAGGAAGCCCACCACCTGGGCGCCCTCTCCAGTGGCCCAGGGCTCAAGCAAAGGAGTTTCATCTTCTGGTTTAGTGAGTGCCCAGGAGGTCAGGGAGGGTGATTCCTGATCGCAAAGGCTCCTAGGATGGGGGCATGTGGGATCCCCACAATTCACATTGAATTCAGTTACTCTCCCCAGGAGGGTGGCCCAAGGTGGGCTCTGCCCGCTGGGACCCTCTGGGACCCTCTGACCCTGTAGGGCCTGAGCTGGGGAAGGGAGGGCCTGGCCAGCCTAAGGGTGCCATTGACATTTGGGAATTTTCTTGTATCTATTTATGAATATGTAACTCTTTATATCAAATCTATTTTTTAAAACATGGAGAAGTTGCCTTTAAGGGCACTGTGGAGCCAGAGTGTCCATTTCTAGGCCATTAAATAAATCGCATAGCAGCCCGGTGCCTGGGCTGTCCCTCACCTGTGCACTTGGCCTCCCCAGCAGCACCTACCTGCCCAGTGGCTTCCCGCAATGTGTCTCTAGGTCTGGGGGACTGGGCCCACTGGCCACGTGAGACCCTCCCTCTGTGTGTGGGACCCCACGGACCTGGGCAAACAACAGTGCCTGGCAGCAAGGGCAGGCCTGGCTTGGCCAGGGCAGCTGTGTGGCCTTGGGCCCATCACTCTGCCTCTCTGGGCCCTGGCTTTCCTGGGTTGGGCTCTGTTGGGTACTGCGGGTGAGCACCAGGCCCTGCACACCCTGTTTCCTGCAGCCCCTGAGGGACGTTCTTCTTCCTCTTTGCCAGGGAGCAGGCAGGGTCGGGTTGCCGAGCCCTCAGCTGCAGAGCTTAGGCCAGGGGAGCCTGCCCAGGCACAGCAGGGACGGGGTGCTGAGCACCGTGGCGGTGGAGAAGCCCGGGAGTCCAGATAGTCCGAATCTGTCCTGGTCCCTCTGAGGGAGGGGCCTCTGCCAAAGGGGGAGTTTTCAGACCACCCAGGGTCTCCCTCCCTGCCGAGCCTGGCCTCTGACCACCTTCTTCGTGGTAGGTCACCCACACCCTGGGAGCCTGGATGAACCCGAGGCGAGGAGAGGAGAGGGCTTTGGTCCTGAAGGAGCAGGGGTTCTGAGGGATGGGCTCTCAGCCCAGGCCCCTCTAGCACTGGCCATCCCAGGGAGGAGCCAGGCCCGTTCATCCTGGACCACCTCAGCTGCCATCTGGTAAATGCACACACATACATATTTTCTAGAGTGTAACAGAGAGTGTTCACTCCTGTGAGCGAGAGACACAGCCCCTCCTGGGTCTCTATGCTGTGATCCGCCCTCCCTTCAGCGGCCTGCATGCTCTAGGAGGGTCCAGGATGTGTGCCTTCCCTACGTGGTCCAGCTGCATTTCTGCTGCACCATCACCTGGTGTGAGAGCGAGTTTGCACAGGACCCCCAAGGGTCCGTGTGTGTGTTTCAGTGTGGAGAACACTGGTCTGCATGGGTACTCACCCTCAACCGCTGGCCTCAGGTCAGGCCCAGCTTGGGAGTTCTCAGTCTCTCCCACTGGCATGAAGGGTCTTGTTCACCCACTTCTGAAGGAAGGTTTTCCTTCTTGGGTATCGAGGGCAGAAGGCTCATGGTTCACTTCTCAGCGAGGCTCAGATTCAGACCCGTCAAGAGACAGTGTCTGTGAAGGAGCCGGCTGGGACAGCTGGAACCGCAGCATTCTCGCCTCTGCCCAGGAGCTGTGCTCAGTCCCCTGCCTGCTGCAAACACTGGAAGCTGTTCTCAGCAGTGTTCCTGGTCTTTGGGGTTCTGGGCCCCTTCAGGTGCAGCACCCTCAGGACTAGCAGACATCCAGGACAAGGCTGTGGTCACCAGGCCATGGAGGCTGTATTTATGGAGAGGTTCCTACGAGCTGGTATTGTTCTTGGCACAAATTCACATGGGAGTGTACATGCTTGGCTCCAACAGCACATCTAGTGAGTAAGGTTTGAGCTTTGTCCCCTCCAAATCCTGGAAATAGATGGTGGCTTTTCACAAGTGGGCCTGTGGCCACGGTGACAGCTGCACACTCAGGTTCAGAGCTGAGAGCGTAAACACCTGTGCGTATGTGTTAGAAGGTTATTAAGTGAGAGTAAAAGTATACTCCTGAGGAGGAGGAGTGGGCCCAAGCAGATAAGAGTGGCTCAAAAGGCCAACGTGGCCACAGTTCTGAGTGGAACTTTCTTCCCTCTTCCTCAGTCCTTCTTTAACTACAGGACACACGCACTTGCTAGAGAAAAAGGGAAAGTGGAGGAAGCGCCCGGGAGGGGTGGCCATGCCACAGTCCCTTCTCCATTCTCTTCAGGTTTGGGGCACACACACACATGCCCAGCATGAGTTTAAGCTACTGGGGTCTGGGACTTGAACCGTACAGATGGTGGGATCCAGCCACCTCAGCCTCAGGGGGACATTTCTAAACAATACCCCGTGGGCGCTGCACGAACGACGCTCAGTAGTTGTGTGTGCAGGGCTCCACACAGACCTGCTACGTGCTCGGAGCAGGCACCCCTGCCACACTGGGGACCACTATGAGGTGCTGACCCTGGAAGACGGGGTCAGCTCCTAGAGAGGGGGTGGAGTCTTGGGTCTCCCTTCCGCTTTTCTACACTTTTATGTAAGTGTAGAAATATAATAAATGCACATCGCTCATGTCTGGGACTTGAACCGTACAGATGGTGGGATCCAGCCACCTCAGCCTCAGGGGGACATTTCTAAACAATACCCCGTGGGCGCTGCACGAACGACGCTCAGTAGTTGTGTGTGCAGGGCTCCACACAGACCTGCTACGTGCTCGGAGCAGGCACCCCTGCCACACTGGGGACCACTATGAGGTGCTGACCCTGGAAGACGGGGTCAGCTCCTAGAGAGGGGGTGGAGTCTTGGGTCTCCCTTCCGCTTTTCTACACTTTTATGTAAGTGTAGAAATATAATAAATGCACATCGCTCATAAAGATCTTACCATGTGACCCTCCTGCCTCAGTAGCTGGGGCCACAGGCTTGCATCACCATGCCCTTCTCTCTTCTGTTTTATTTTGATTGTTTTAAAGTTTATTTATTTCTTCTGTGAGAGAGACAGAGAGCACCCCTAATAGTCTGGACAGCAGGAACACCTTAACTCAGCCAGCCCCACTCGGGGAGGCCTCCGGATGCGAACCAGAACCTTCCTGTGTGGTCAGTCTACTGCTGTGCTCCCGTCCACCCCGCTTTCTCCCAGGCCGTGCCTGCCTCCTGGCATGGCCCTCCCCTTTCACCTGGGCAGCAGGACTACAGGTGCGTGCAACCACACCTGGCTCTTCTCCTTTTATGTCGAGTCAGGGTTTGAACCCTGAGAACAGTGTCGTAATGTGCCGGTGGGCACATCGGTGCCTTCTGCCCTTCCTGCTGTGTTCTGGGGCTCTGGAGAGGGCTGAGGTCAGCCTGGGTCATGCAGAGCAGCCCAGGTGGGAAGCAGGCCATGAGTTGGGGACATACTGGGATGTCTAGAGATCATGGGCTCAGGGGTGACTGGCTGGTGGGCCTGGCCCATTTACTAGGAACTCGAGAGACGAAGAAGACCCAACTGGCCCCTGGTCTTGGTGGGTGAAGCCAGGGTTTCAGAGGAGCCAGACACGCTCCTGAGAAGGAAGAGAACTCTGGCTCACATCAGACACCAAGCAGCAGTTTACTGGGGGTTCCTGGTGGCTCAGGCTGACTGGTCCCTGTCTTTGGCCGGGGGAGGCCTGGGTCTAGGCTCAGTCCAGGGGCTGGGTGGTGGTACATAGCAGGCCAGCCAGAAGAGCCAGGCCCAGTAAGGCCACGGCTACCAGCACCATGTCCCACCAGACACTTAGGTAGGCCCAGGACTCCTGGAGCTGCCAGCCACAACTGCCCAGCTCATAGCCCGTCAGCTGGCCCAGTGGGCGGTGGGCAGCAAGGCCAGGGCTCGCACAGCGGACATGCCGCAGGGACTCGGGTGCGTGGTCCTCCAGCCAGAGGCGTAGGTAGGTGAGGCTGCAGTCACAGTGCCAGGGATTCTGAGCCACGTCCAGAGTCTGCAGCTGGAGCAGGTGGTCGAAGGCGCCTGGCGGCACAGTGTGCAGGCTGTTGTTGGCCAGCAGCAGGTGGCGGGTGTAGGCCGGCAGGGTGGGCAGGGCCAGGAGCCCTCGGCCCCTGCAGTCTACCCACAGCCCCATGGTCTCCAGGGCCTGGCAGGTGCACAGAGCCGGGCAGTCCTTGGTGGCCTCGGCCATGGCCCAGAGCAGGAGCAGGGTCCTCCAGACAAGCATTGGGCTGGCTGTGGGAAGAGGGTAGTGAGGGAGGCCTGGTACTGTCCCATCCTCAGGCTCTGAGGGACCTGACGGGGGGCAGGAGGGACTCAGTTCCCTTCTAAGGCCTCGGCCTTCCCCTCTGTGAACTTGGGGATGGGGGGACTGAAGGAGGCGACAGTGCCCAGCCCTGGCTGACCCTCACTGCACACACCAGGAGGCAGCGTGCAGTGGCTGTGGGGAACACGTTCTCAGGGAAGGGAGGGGGTGCTCGGCTGCTAGATGCTTCCCAGCCCTGGCCCACGAGGCTGGACAGGCCTCGGAGAGGCCTCCGGGCTGCACCCAGCCCTGATGCGGTCAGGTTGTCGGTGTAGCCCTCTCAGAAGTGGCCAGTTCTCAGCCCCTGGGTGTAGCTAAGTGAGCTGTCATGAGAAGCAGCAGGGTGGGCACTTCTGGGAGCTGGGAGGGGGCCAGAGAGCTGCTCCCTAGGCCGATGCTGGGGCTGGGAGACTGAGACCCAGACCAAGAGAGGGAAGGCGGGCTGTCCAGGTCACCCAGCAGTCCAGGTTGGACAAGATCCATGTGTGGGTCTCCTAGGCCAGTCTGCTCTGGGCTCACTGCAGGACGGGGTCAGCGCAGCTCTCCCAGGGCTGCCCCTGCAGGCTGCCTGAGTACTAGCCCAGGGAGGGGAGGCGTCTCAGGGCAAATGCCCCACCCGTCTCCTGCAGAGGAGGGTCGCACCCTCTCTGCTGCCCCACCCATGGGAGCCCATGCTGGGGAACACCGAGGGCCACTTACCTGCCAGGCCTTGGGTTGCGACCCCTAAGTCCCAGCTGTCCTGGCTGAGGGTGCGGTGGTGATACTGTGAGGGCCGCCAGTGGTAGCCCCTGCTCAAACCAGAGGAAGGAAATGATGAAAATAGTACAGCTTATCCCCTGGAGCAGCCAGGGCCTATCTCCAGAGGCAGGAGGTCTGGCGCTCAGTGTGGGCCAACCCCAGGTCCCAGGAGGGGTCCCACTGCCCTGCCTTTCCTTGGACGGGCTTCTGGACTGGGTCTGAGGAGAAGTGAGGCAGTCTCTCACCAGGTCCTAGGAGGTAGGGAGGCTTCTGGAGACCCAGAGGGATACCCTGAGGTCCGTGGCTCTGCTGGCCGGTCCTCTGGATCCCCATTTTCCTCAGCTGTGAAATTGGGTCTCACAGAGGGGGGCTGGGCAGTCCTAGAGTCCTGTGGGGGACATGACCTAGTTTTTAGGTCTCCTTTTGGTGCCACAATGTCTTTAGTAGCTGCCTGACCTTTCCTGCTCATCCCATCCAGGAGCTGCAGGTCAGGAGCCCGAAGCTGTGTCCAGCCAGACTGAGCCCAGGGCCTCCACCAGGGCTGTGTTCAGCCAGACCTAAAGACCATGTCCTCATTTGCATGGTGTTCACTGCTAGGGCCACCACTGCCATGAGGTCTGTGACGTAAGTTCCCTTTTCACATAAGGAGCCAGCAGGTAAGATAGCGGTCAACACTCTGGATTTCCATGTGGCCAACCGCAGTTTGAGTCCTGGACCTGATGGCTTAAAAACTCATGCTGGGCACATGCTCATGCTCATGCATCCCCAAAATCCGAGAGGCGAATGGAAGAGAAGGGATTGTGGTATAGCCATCACCCTGGGGGATTTTTCACTTTCTGTCTGTCTCTCTGGTGAGCACATACACCCTATAGCAAAAAATTCTCACAAAAATAAATAAATAAATGGATTGGGTTGGCCCATGGCCTGGTGGTTAAAGGAGCCAGATCCCATATGGCTGACCACATGGTTAGAGTTCTGGACCCAGCTGCTTGAAAAAACACCAGGAAGTATGTGAGCCCCAAACCCTAACAGGGAAGGAACTGTGGCTTAACCTTGTTCCATTAGGGAGTGCTCTCTTCTTCCTTTCTCTCTTTTTTTATTTTTTTTTATTTATTTTTTATTTTTTATCATCATATCTTCTTCATATTACATTGGATTACATATAACTTTACTGTGTATTACATTGTTTCTTCAAAAGGGAATGCCATGCACGTCAGTCAGTACAGAGACATTAATCTCCCCACTTCAACATTCCATATCTTTTCTGTTTTCCCCAATCATTATCTTTATTATTCTAATTATTTTTATAAAACAGTCAATTGCTATTTCTCGTTTTGCTTGTAAAAATACTTTGCCCATCATGAAACACTTCTCAGACCAATCCAGTTGAGAATTCTATACATGTCATCATCAACAGTTAATAAACCCTATCTGTTTCTCACTGACGTCCTGTCTCTCTATTGCTCACTTGCTATCTTTCTCTATCCTCTTCTCTTCACTTACCCCATTCCACACTGTCCTATTCTCATTAAGTACCTTCACTTCAAGAATGGTAGAGTAGTTCCTGTTCTTCCCTGAGGCAATGCAGGGCTGGTAACCATCATCTTCTCAAGTTGCAAGTTCTCAGACCTTGTTTTCCGCTTCAGCTTGCTGTTCCAAAGGCCACACGTCGGCCCTGGGGAGGCAGCTGAACGCCGGGGCATGAGCCCCGAACCGCGGGCCCCCCCGGAGGGGGGCCGGCCGAGTGGCGGC